GCTTGGATGAAAAGGGAGTAAGTGCTCTCCAGAGCTGTCTGCTGGAACTTTCTGCAACGATGGACATGTGCTATATCTGTGCTATCCAATATGGAAGCCACTAGCCCCACGTGGCTACGTGAACACTTAAAATGTGGCTAGTGCAACTGAGAAACTGAATTTATTTTTTTTATTTTATTTTAACTGATTTAAATTATAATTTAAACAGCTGCATTTGGCTAGTGGCTACCACACTGGACAGCGTAGGTCTAGCCTCTAGGCCCTGGGATTTCACCTGCTTCTCCACTTTGGAAATCCCTTGGTGGTGCAAATAATTAAGTGCTCAGCTGCTAACCAAAAGGTTAGAGGTTTGAGTCCATCGAGAGGCACCACGGAAGAAAGGCCTGGGAATCTACTCCTAAAAAATCAGCCACTGAAACCCCTACGGAGCAGACTTCCTCTCTGACACACCAGGGTTGCCATGAGTCAGACTCAGCTCCACGGCAATAGGTTAGTCCATTTGGAGACATCACACCAGCTCCTCCTCGGGCTCTGGCTGCCTTCCCTCTTTGCACCTGTCTGGTTTTTCTTCTTTCAGCCTCAGCTCCCAGAGGGAGCGCCTTTTATTGCCCTGTGAAAAGGCAAGCCAGGACCAATCAGATTCTACCTTTAGGAATTTCGCAGCAGAAACAGAAGCCGAAAGACGGCACCGGGGTCCAGACAGGGCCGAAGGAGCCAACCCAGAAACACTGAGGCACAAGGATGCAGGAGCCAGGAGAAAGCAGAGGAAGAGGGGGAGGCCAAGGACAGAAGACCACCAGACAGCTTGAGCCAGCCCTGCCCAGGGCCACCACATGCCCCATCATCGCGCAGGCCCAGTTCCACACCTGCATCTCATTGTTTCAACTAGGATGACAGTTCCAAAGTGATGTAAACATGAAGGGAAAGGAAAGAAGGGGAAGGAAAAAGTAGGGTCAGACCAAGGGGCTGACTCCCTCGCTTCGGATTCCTTTTCTTTTCCCACCTCGAGCCCTGACTTCAGCAGCAGAGGCCTCTTGGGGTGCCTGCCAACCCTGTTACTTCCTCCTGTGAGGACTGTCCCTTCCCAAAGGTGGAACCTTGCTGCCACGTTCCTGATACAAGGCCCTCTCTGAGAGAACAGAGCTGAAGACGCCAGAGAAGGGAAAAGAAGAGACAGAAGAAAGCAAATGTGGAGAAAATTAGGAGGCACCAGAAGGGGGGTGGTGGAGATTATCTGGGTTCCTGATTCTAAACCTGCAATTCCATGGTCATAGCAATTGAACCAGGACACTGTTGAGAGTGAAGAGGGGCAGAAGTAATAATTATGCTGGGACGATGACATAAACCAGGGCTGTCAGGGCAAACAGGGAGGTGTGTTCTCCCAATCAGACCCAGCGATGCTTCTTCTCAAGCTCCACACAACACTCCTATAGCCTTTCATAAACAATGTGCAGGGGTTGCTAATCCCAGCACCTGGGCAAGGCGTATGCATCTTGACAGCCGCAGTGACAAGGTCAGATCCTGTTCCTGCCTCCTAGCCCAGGCCTCTTCCCACAGCACTGTAGGGTTTCCTCTTGCAAGTTTCCCTGCTTTGATGTTAACAAAGAAGCCCTGCTGGTATAGTGGTTAAGCTCTTGCTGTTAACCGAAAGGTCAGTGGTTGGAAGCCACCAGCTGCTTCGTTGGAGAAAGATGTGGCAATTTGCTTCAGTAAAGATTTACAGCCTTGGAAACCCTACGTGGCAGTTCTACTCTGTCCTACAGGGTCGCTGTGAGTCAGAATTGACTCAACGGCAGTAAGTTTGGGATTGTTTGGTTTTGGAGGTTAACAAGAGTCTTTGAGCCTTGGTGGCGTAGTGGTTAAGAGCTCAGCTGCTAACCAAAAGCTCAGCAGTTCGAATCCACCAGTTGTTCCTTGGAAACCTTATGGGACAGTTCCACTCTGTCCTATAGGGTCACTATGAGTTGGAATTGACTCAGTAGCAATGGGCAGAGCCTTTTGAGACCTAAGTAGAACTGATTTCCTCCTAGGCAGAGGGCTCTGGTTTGGAACTCTGATTTAACTATAGAATGTCACCAAACAAGAAGGTAAGACTGAATCCCATCTGCCAGAACAAGCCAGCATGACAGCCGGCCTTCCCATCTGATCCACCAGACTGGGTGCACGTGGCTTTCCTTTGGAAGCACTGGCAGACGCAGAGATTCCGGAGCTAAAAAGGGGTGCTGTGACTTGGAGGCTGAGTTAAGGCAGGTGGGCAAGTCTGGGGATGGGGAAAAGGCTCTTTGGTTTTTGTTTTTTTAACTTTTTAATTTAAAATAATTTCAGACTTAGAAAAAAATGAGGGTAAGATGCAGACAGATGCCCCTTTACCCCATATTAGGGACTGAATTGTTTCCCCCAAAATATGTGTTGGAATCCTAACCCCTGTACCTGTGGATATAATCCTGTTTGGAAACAGGGTTTTCTCTGTTGTGTTAATTAGATCATATTCGAGTAGGGTGGGTTCTAAATCTAATCACTTCTGAGTTATAAAAATAGTAGAGTAGACACAGAGACACACACAGGAAGAAGAGGAAGGCAAAACAAGACAAATGCATCTACAAGGACTACCGGCAGCTACTAAAAGCTGAAATAGACAAGGAAGGACTTCCTCCTAGAGCTGTGCCCTGAATTCAGATTTCTAGTCTCCTGAACTATAAAATAAATTTCTGTTCTTGAAAGCCACCCCCTTGTGGTATTTGTGTTACAGCAGCACTAGGTAACTATGACACCCCAAAATAATTTGTATTTCCTAAAGAACATCCTCTTATATAATGAGAATACAACGATCAAAATCAGAAAATTAGCATTAACACACCTACTCCTCATTTATCGACTATCTCATTATCTGACATTTAGCGTTTATGACAATAGTGAAAAATCTACTGTCCGACTATTTTGCACATTAACAACATACATCTGGCAGTAACAGATGCCAAGGTGCAAGGGGAGAATAATGCTGGCTGTGATGGTTAAGGTTATGTGTCACCTAGCCTGGGCCATGATTCTCAGTGGTTTGGCAGTTAAATAATGATGTAACTTAGCAGTTATGTAATGATGTAATTTGGCAATTGTGTAATGATGTAGTCATCCTCCATTTTTGCATAACACTGATTTCACATAACGACCTGGTCTTTGGAACCTAACCATGTCAGTAAGTGGGGAGTGGATGTACTAGTAACCTAATCTACGACTTTATTCAAATTGCATCCACTGTCCTATTAATGTCTGTTGTGGATTGAACTATAACCCCCAAAAACATGTGTTGTAAATCCTAACCTCTATGTCTGCAGTTATAATTCATTTGGGAATGAGTTGTCCTTACGTTAATGGCGCAGTATTAGTATAGGGTGTACCTTGAGTCAATCTCTTGAGATATAAAAGAGATTAAACAAGCAAGTGAGTAGAACAGAGATGGGGGAAGAGAAATGCCAAGCCACTTGAAGATCGCCCGGGAGAAGAAGCTCAGAAGAGACAAGGACCTTCCTTCAGAGTCGACAGAGAGAGAAAAAAAGCCTTCTCCTAGAGCCGGTATCCTGAATTCAGACTTCTAGCCTCCTAAACTGTGAGAAACTAAATTTGTTTGTTAAAGCCACCCACTTGTGGTATTTCTGTTACAGCAGCACTAGATAACTAAGAGAATGTCTTTTATAATAAAAGAAAAAAAAACTTTTTTTCCTGGTCCAGGATCCAACCCAGGATTCACAGGTTGTACTTAGTTGTCATGTCTCCTTAGTCTCCTTGAAGCCAGACAGTTCCTGGGTCTTTGTCTTTTATAATTTTAATTTTTTTTAATAATACAGGCCAGTTATTTTCTAGTGTGTCTATCATTTGGAAAAGACTCACTTTCAATTCATCATTTTTGTTGATGTTACATAGGCAAGAGACAGCAGAATCGAATTTAATGAATTACCAAAAAAAAAAGTTCAAATAGCCTAAGGTCCAAAGCACCTCAAGCACAGGAAAAAACCCATTAGCCCTTTAAACTTTCAGGCACAGGATCAGTCCTCACAGGGCCCTGGAGGAGGGACTTACATTACATAGTAACACTCCCCTCCCCCACCCAAACACAGCTGGAAATACTGACAGGACCCAGTGTTTTCCCATCAGTGGCAAAACGCACGATTTTAAACCCACAGGATTCTTGTGTAAGAAGAGGCGGAATTGCTGAAACCACCTCGTTTCACTGAGCTCGACCACAAGTGAGCTATTTCCAGGTTTCCAACAAGAGGCTTAACATAGTTCCTCAATTTCAAGACCTACTTTTTTCAAAAATTCAACAATCATCAGATTTCAGACGGATTATACAATTGATGGACACATTTATTGGGGGTGGTGTTTCACCGCCGCCGCCCAAGCTGTTATTACATACAAAGTCCATTTCATAATTAACAGGAGTTTTGGAACGAGGGAAATCTGGCCCAGCCTTGGGAAGCGTTGGAGATTATTTAGTGCTGCCACCATCAGAAGCATGCATCCACCCACCCCGGCATTCCAGGCAAGCTAGCTGTCTCACTCCTGCTGGCTTTTGGATAACCTCTCCCCTGACTGCAGCTCACAGGAATGGGAAGGAAGGAGGGCGCAGGGTGCTGAAGAATTAAAGCCGAAGCCAACTGCTCTGACTCGAAAGATATGGAGGAAAAGACCAGAAGAAACAGCTAAAAGAAGAGTTAAAAGTAGTTGCTCCTCGGAGTAGAACTGGAGGTGGGGCGGAGTGGGCAGAAGACTTTCATTTTTCATTATAACTTCTCAGGGCTCAGTTTTGTTTGGTTTGGTTGGTTTTTGTTGGTTTAACTGTGTCCAAGTATTGCTTCAAAAAAATAAAATACTAAACCTATTGCAGCCCAGATTGACCAAAGGCCTTTAGTATTCCTTTTTGCCCTTCTCATTCACACTGCAGATGGTTCAGAATTCATTCAGCACGGGGCTAGATTAAAATCAAAATCTTAGCACCGTACAACCTCAGAGCCAGAAAAGACTTTGTTCATCATTTGGCTCAGATGCTCCCATTTCACAGATGAGGTAATTGAAACTTCAGGAGGTAAAGGTCCTCTCCCAAGGATGTACATCTAGTTAGGAAAGGATGGATATCTGGTTAGGGTCAGGGCAAAGCTGCAAAACCCGGTCCCCTAAGCCCTAGGCCAGTTCTTTCCACCTTACATGCCTCCCTGGAGGCCTCTGAATGTGCACCCTCCACACCTCCCAACACAGGGCACATTTAAACACATGGGCTCAGGCCTCAGACTCCTGGATTCACACTGGCTCCACCATCAACTGGCTGTGTGACCTTGGAGAATTTACTTAATCTCTCAGTGCCTCCATTTTGCATCAACATCCGCAAGGGGTGTTATGAGAACTAATAGGCTCAACTATATAAAGCACTTGGTACAATACTTAGTAAAATAAGCTTTCAATAAATAGTGGCTATTTTTATGTAGGTACAGTTATATACTAAATAGCAAAGTGTGGGAAGGAAAGGACCAACATTTGTTAACATTATATGCTAGGTACCATGCCAGGCACTTAACAAACATCGCCTAGTTTAATCCTTAACAGCCTGGCAAGATAGGTATTAAAACTCAGAAAAGCTTAAAAAAAAAAAAAAAAGAAAACTTACCCAAGACTACACCACTAAGAGGCACAAACTCATTGCCATCAAGTTGATTCCAACTCATAGTAACCCTATAGGGCAGAGTAGAACTGCTCCATAGGGTTTCCAAGGAGCGGCTGGTGGATTTGAACTGCCGACCTTTTGGTTAGCAGCCAATGTTTAACCACTTGTGCCACAAGAGGCACAGGGAGAATTCAAATCCAGTTTTCCCAAACTCCAAAACCCATGCTTTCTACTACAACTATATACTATATGGTTTAGTTTCTATCAGCTCCCAAAAAAAGTTTTCCTATGCTTTTTTGACCCCCAAATTTCATAGCGTTAAAGTGATTTTCTTTAACAAGTTCCAAATGGGAGAACAGAGCCAACTTCTAGCAAATGAAAGCAACACCAGGATTCGCTTTTCCCAATGAAGACGCTAGCGAGACCAGTGACAGGGAAAGCAAGCAGCATGTCAAGAGTTGTTCAAGGAGTTTTAGAATTCTCCTCCCTCTCTAAATTTAAAAAGTGTCTGCCTAGCCATTATACCTTTGGCTTTAGGCTGTACTCATTTTTTTAATAGGCGTTCAAGTCATGGCATAATTGTCCCTCAGACAAAAGTTTTAAGAAACAGGCAAAGCAGCAAAGAATTCCCCACTGCAAGAGCCACAGCACTGCTAAAAACTGCTGCCTCTTGCTTTTGCTGTTGTGGGCTTGTTTAAGGGTCACAGGCAGTGCTAACCCAAGTCCTTGCTCTGCTGGCTGGTTAACCATTAAAGCAACTTGAGGAGGTGCTGTGAAGCGTGGTTGTTTATGAAATCGACACAGGTAAAGAGAACAAAGAAAGGGTGAAAACAGATGTCCTGCAAGTCATAAAACTAGGGTGTCTCTACACCACCACGAGTATGGAGGTTTTAAAACGTGGCCTCAAAATTCTTTGGCCTTCCTCCTTACCAAGAGGTTAGTCTACGAATCCCTCTTGAATCTGAGTGGGCTCATGACAGTTTGGACCAATGGAAGTGATGCTAGGTGGCTTCCAAGGCTGTCAGTAAAAGGCCATGAAGCTTCCATCTGCTCACTCTGAGGGAAGTCAGACACCAGGTAGGAAGTCAGACTACCTGAGACTGCCATGCGGGAAACATCCCATGTGGGTGCTCTGGTTGACAACCCAGCTAAGCTTCCTAGACATGTGAGTGAGGCCATCTTGGACATCCAGTGCAGCCGAGCCTTCAGATGACCACAGCCCCAGATGACGTCTGCTTGCAACTGCATGAGACTCCTCAACGAGAACCACCACCTAGCTGAGCCCTCCCCAAATTCCTGACCCACAAAATCATGGGCAAAACAAAATGGGTGTTTTAAGCCATTACATGTTAGTAATCTGTTGGGCAGAAATGGCAACCAGAACAATGAGGCAGGACAACACCCTTATTTCATCGCTTCTTCCAACGATGCCGAAAACCAGGAAAGAAAACATTAAATCTATGTGCTTCGAATCTATGAAAACAAAGCTGAACACTTTTGCATGCTAGCAACAAAAGGGTGGAGCAGACGAAGACAACCAAACCCCCATTCATCACGCTGAGGTTAAGTCTGATGCCAAACAATAAAAGAGTTTCTGTTAAGTGGGTTGGCTGCAGTTATGATAAACAGCGGATATTCCTCTCATTGTCTCCCCACTAGCAGTTTCTTTCTTACAGAGCAAACATTAATATCTCTTAGATAATCCAGCAAAACACAGCAAAGGAAAATCAGGCAAGAATAGAACAAAATTTTTTCCATCTTCCTTTAAGGAAATGAAAGGGTCCAATTCTCTGAGCTCTCTAAGAGCTGCTTTTGCAAATTATTGGAAGACCTTTGGTTAAGATGCATTGCATAAAAGCAAGATAGTCTTCACTGCTGGAAACATCTATGTGGCCACAGGCAGATGAAGTAACTCTCAATGAGTGGGGCTGGGCAAAGACAACTGGAATGCCTGCCAAAAAAGGATGAGGTTCAATAGATGTTTAATTCATCCAGCCAAAACATACACACACACCCCACTGCCATGTTAAAAGCCCCTACAATAAATGCTCCAAATAAAAAATAATGGCTCAATGTTAAAAGGCTACAGTCCACAGGGACCAGAGCTCTCTGTACTGAAGGGTATCCCTCGACGTTCAGGGCCAACTTGCGGATTTGGAGATTCTATCATCCACAGGAGTCCCTGCGTGGTGCAAACGGTTAAGCACGTGGGAACTAACAAAAAGGTTGGAGGTTCAAGTCCACACAGAAGGACTGCAAAAGAAAGGCCTGATGATCTACTTCCCAAAAAATCAGCCACTGAAAACCCTACGGAGTGCGGTTCTACTCTGCAACACACGGGATCGCCATGAGTCGGAGTTGACTTCACGGCAACTGGAAAATCAACCACCAGGACAGCAACGGATCTGTCAACCCCACAGCCTGTCCTCTTTTGAGGCAGGGACCACCCATAGGCACCTCAGAGTCAGAGGGAGTAAACCTGGGGATACAGTTGTGTCATTATAGAAAAGACGGCTTATATTACAATAGCAAGGGTTCCAGCTGAGAGGCCAAGGTTTATGTATGATCTCATTTACCTTTATAGCTTAAAAGGAAGGCAAATCTAATTTTTTTTTTGAGACAATAGAGTCCACTTCAATAGTAGACAGCTTTTTCTATATTCTAGCCAACAGCCTATACATCACTTTGCTAACATGGCTACAGTGAATGAGGTTGTGCAAGAAAGCCTGTAAGTGTCCACAAGACTTATTCCGTTACAAATGATGCTAATACTTAACTACAGTATTTATATATAATAACTGAGTTTAATTATCTAATTATTCTTAATGTTTGGAATGTTTTCCACTATTAAGTCTTGGTGATTTTTTTCTTTTCTAAGGCTATAAATGAGGACTTCTTGACTGTAGACAATACTAAAATGTCTTTAAAGCACTTTCTATTTCTTCATGAATTACTACAATGAGAGTTTAACAATACAGTAGTTCACGAGGCAAACCCACCAACAACAGGGTTTAGCTACATTTAAGGCAGGACTCCTGATCCGAAAATATTTTCCCACCAGCATTCATAGTTCCTAAAATTCCATACATAGAAATGCATTTATTTGGCTTATAAAGACATCTTTTTTTAAAAAAAAAAAAAAGGGGGCCATCATTCTCCACCCCCTCCCTATTTCCTGCCTACGAAAACTATAAAATATGTTCATTTGTAAATAAACTGATAAATGAAAAAAAATGACGAGCACTCCCAGCAACTAAGCAATAACCACTGATGGCATTTGAGGGCACAGTTTTCTAGAGCTGTGCTTCTCAAACTATCTGTGGTGATGGGTTCTTTTTTCCCGAACCCATTATGAACCAATACTTCTGTAAAATACAATAAAAAATAAATAACTAGAAAAATAAAATGCCACTAGGATGTCACAGCAATATCAAATTGCTACCAAAAAAAAAAAAAAAAAAGTTTCTAAACTCTTATTTCGGTTTCTGCATTTACTTCACCTTGAATGGTAACAGGCAGTTCATGGTCTGTGGACCGCACTATGAATGACTATTCCCAACCAAAATATCCTACAGTGCACAGACAGCTCCTAACAGGAAAGAATTACCGAGCCCAAAATATCAACAATAGTGCCGAGGTTGAGAAACCCTACTCCAGAACAAGACACTTGAACTCTCTATGCCTCAGTTTTGTTATCTGCCAAATGGGGACGCTATGCCCTGGTGGCATAGTGGTTAATAGTTTGGCTGCGATGCAAAAGGTTGGCAGTTTGAATCCACCAGTTGCTTCTTGGAAACCCCATGGGGCAGTTCTATTCTATCCTATAGGGTCGCTAGGAGTCGGAATCAACTCAACGGCAACAGGTTAATAGTACCTATCTCACCACTGTTCTGAGGATTCAGCGAGTTTTTGTACTTAAAGTGGGAGAGGTGGCCTGACACATAGCAGGCACTCTATTATTATTAGCTATCATTCTTACTGAAGGGCAGGAGACAAAGCAGGAAAGACACTCCAGGATGGGACCACAAAATGCTTCCTGCAAGTGCCCGCACACCGCAGCCCTCATCTCACCCCATAGCTTACCATGTACCATCACTGGGATGAGAAAACTCAGGGCCAGAGACTAACTGACCCAAGGTCACACAGCTATTAAGGGGCATTCTGTTGTTATTCATCCACTTAAACATCTATTGAGCACCTAATTCATGCCAGGCAAATCCCAGGAGAAAACACATCCTAAGGAAGCAGGGCTCACTCAGGGAAACAAACATTTCCACATCCCAGCAGCCAGGCCTGGAAGAAAGCCCCGCTGACCCCGTGACTGCGGAGTCCATCCGCCATAATCCCGGCCTGCACAAGCCCTCTCTGGCCCTGTGCCCAGAGCTAGTCTCTCTGACAAAGAAAGGTCATGGTGGAGGCCTGGGGGAGGAGAACAGAGCCATCGCCAGGCCCCGT